GCCTGGTTTTTGGTAATTTTCCCATGAAATTTGTCCAAAATTTGATGTGCATCAGGGCCAAAGGCCCTGAGTTGTGATCATTGGTCCGTTTCCAATCAAATTAGACTAGCAATTCGTCAAAAACGAACAAACCCGAAATTAAATGAAATTATTATTTTGCCTTCATCAAGAAGTGAGTCTCACAAGTGGATCTAAAAAGGATGTTAAGGTCCATGTTTTTAATATTTTTCATCTTAAACGCAATTTGCATTTTCTTTACATATCTTTCATATCTTTGTTGGAGAGAATTTCAACCATTTTAAAAAATTAAATCACAATTTAAATCTAATTTAAAGTAGTGCCGTCACAAGTTGTCACTCTAACACGTAGGGCTAGAAAGTTACAAGGAAACTCTATTGATAACTATTTATCAAACAAATACTATTTATCATAATCATTTTAGAAACCGAAAGGAACTCATTTTCCCCAAGATATGGCCACTTGCTGTCTTCCTTTACCTCCAAGCATTAAACTCCAGTGGCAGCACCAGCCGGCTTCTTCTTCTTCACTTATTTATTGCCACCGTTCTCTACAATTGTCAAACTTTAAACCCCGTTCTTTGTGTGGCCGCTGCCGTGCCACCAGTCCTGGGCCGCCGCCGGAATCTGGGCCCAATTCCAACAAACCTCCAGCTCCGTCTTCAGGTCCCCCTTTTTTCTTATTATATATTTCACTCTTGCGATTAAACTTGATTATGCTCTTTAATTTCCTTGTTTCATAATGAAATTGTATACGATAGTTAATAATTAGTATATGGAATAGCTGTTTATTCATTTCTGAGTATTTGAATAAGTGTGAGCTTAGTTCTCTGAAATTACTAATTTTCTTGATTTCCTGGAGCAAGAAAATTTTGTACTTATTTTCAATTTGACTATTGGAAGTAAAGGAATTTGAGTTTGATTCCATTCCAATATAATAAAAAATAATACAACCTACTAGAACTAGATTACTGTCAAACCACAAACGTGCAAACATAACGGTTTTTGAAATTTCTAAGAAAATTTGGTGAATATATGCTTCCACATTGAGATGCAGTCAATCTTGATTTTGAATTAATCCTGTGAATATTCATTGTGATAACATCCTAGAACTGTATGCTAGTGTAGATGTTGTTTTGGTCTGACTGTAATCAAAATGTTGTTGCTAAACAATTTTTTTCAGACTTCTAAGAAGCTTGTGAACATATGCACAGTATTCTTCCTAGAAGATACATTAAATCTTGATGTCTGAAATATATTTATGATATCTGAGAATAGTAATAACTAATAACTATTCTAAGTGTTGTTTTGGTCATGATTTTGATTCGATTTAATGTTGTTGTCTTGTCATCATGCGATGACTGTCCTTAATTTCCCTTTTCTTATGGGTACTCATGAGTGAACATTTACATAAATAATAGAATGTGGAAGCTAAATTAAATTGAAACATTCATAAAAAAATTTAATAATGTTAATAACACTAATTTGTAATTTCAAAGTGTAACATGCCAAATAAGGTAGTAAGTCTAGATACCAAATGCCAAAATATAAATTTAAAATTTGTGGCTTAGTCATTTTAACATCATAAGCATCACTATATGGCCGTGATCCATCCGATCCATCATTCTCCTGTTGTTTTTAATTAAATTAAGCCTCTTCCTCAAATTTTTTTGAAATTTTAATTACATTCACTGAGTGAATATGGTGCAGGTGTGAATATGGTGCATGGATCGTGAATGGCATAACATGTAACACTTCTAAACATGGACATATTCAATAGTTGTATACATGAATGACATAGCATCATGATTGACATATCAGGAACATGGTGCGATTTAGGCAAAATTATGAAATTTATACATCACATCAACTTAATCTATATATGTGGTCTGGTGCATGTCATGAAATGGGCTAAACAATCATGAAAATAAGCAAATGAAATTACTATCCTAAAACATATTTTCATATCATAAAATCATAATTTGTAAATAGCAATATAATTTTGATGGTACATATCCCACTTGCTTCAAAGAAGAGTGAGTTCAGAAACATGATAACATTCTTGTAATTATGGTGTGAATATAGTCTTATTGAAATGTGTTTGAATTACTAAAGTAATTTTGAGAAACAGTCTTTAATCCACAATATCACTACTGTTGACACTTTATGCAGTTTCCATCTTCACTTCCTTCCTTAATTCAACATCAATTCAACATCATCTTAAAGGCTTGAAGATGTATTTTTCTCATGATTTAATATAAAGAGATAGATTATTCTCGCACTTTCTGTTCGAACATGGTATCTGAATTTTTACACACAAGATTTCTTTAGTTTCTTTTTTTCCCCTTCATTTCTTATGCCGCATGTCCAAAATTTGTCTAGACTGTTCATAAGCATCTCAAAAGCCTCGAGTGGTCACAATAATTTAATATGTTTATACAAGAAAAGGGTAAATTTAGCTACATTGGCGGCCTAACTAATCAAGGCTGTAACCTTCTCACAGGTTAAGGCTTGATGAGGAGGGTATAATCTTTGTGTTTTGTCATTATTTCATTTTTCATGCCCCTGTTAACCCTGCTGAACCACGCTTTGGGAGATTGCTTAGACCTAAAAGAGTGCCTTACTGAGTCTACATTCACTGTTGTTGTGAAATCATTGAATTCTGGCTCTTCCATGTAAACTTCTTGTTCTTGATATGGATTTTTTTCAGTGTCAAGTTAAGCTTAGCTCCTAAAGATAGTAAATATGGACAGTAATCTTCTTCGCTACTGGTGCGAAGGTTTCTTAATAATCCACCGATCATTTCTTCTATTTATCTAAAATTCTTTGCCTTTTTACTTATTAATAAACACACATTTACAACCAATGGTCCTTTTCCCATAGGAAGGTCTACAACCTCTCTTGTATAATTCTTCTCAAGTGCTTTTATTTTCTTACTCGTGGCATTTCTCCAATTCTATTCTATGAGTGCCTCGTGGACTATTTTTGGAATTCACGGTATTTAATTAAGTGAAAAAGAATTGTGTGAATGTCAAAACTTGTCTAATGAAATCAAATTAGACATCAGATGCTAGGTAAATGTTTTTTTTTTGTAATGCAAAACGGTACATCTAACTTTTCAAATACCTGTTACAAGACAAGATTATTGGGCCTCCATAGGTTTAGGGGGATGATATCTTCTTCTTCAGTAAACTCGTAAAGGCTCAACAAATGGACTACAAAGCGCTCTCCCATTACGTATGATGCTCGGACTCGGGTACGGGTATCAGGTACTGGTATGTATCTAAGTGTCAAATCCATTATTCTCTAAAATATAGGATACAGGAATATGACTAAAAAGAGTCCAACTTTCTGACACGGGTACGTGGTTACGTCTTTCAAATTTCAATTTTTTTATTAACCCCAGATGTCATTTTAAATAGACCAAAATCAATCATTCTCAAATAAGGACATGAGTATTGAATAAGGGATTAAAACGAATAAAATAGAATTTTTGGAGTTTAGTTTTCAATTATGGAAAGTTAATTACTAAATATTATATAAAATAGAAAATGAGGGAATTGATTACAATTTAAACTTAATGGAAAACTAAGTTGCATTATATGGAAACCATTTTCATTTCATACAAAGGAAACCTTAAACCATCGATACAGAGAGGAAAGAAGGAAAAAAAGAAGAAAAGGCAAAGAGAAAAGATACAAGAAAAAGAAAGGAAAACCTTGTGCTGTCGCCGAAGAAGAAAGGGAAAGGAAAAAAAGAAGAAGCACAAAGTGTCCGGTTGAAACTTGGAGGATCCGACACATATCCTATACCCATGTCATGTCGTGTCCAACACGGGTACTTCGTCCATTTCGAAGAGTCCAAGCATCAAAGCCCATTACATATATGGAGGATTCAAAGGTGTTGAAGAAATGCAACCTGTCATTTTAGGTGCTATGGGCTGGTCAGGGTGTGGAAATTAAGTCTCATCTTCTGCCAAAGGCACTCTCTAATGATTCAGGAAAGTAGGACGTTCTTTTAACAAATGTGACATCCATGGATGTATAAAACTTCATAGAGATTCGATGGTCGCATTTATAACCCTTCTCTGTTGAAGAGCAATTGATACAAACACACTTGAGAGCTTTAGGATCATATATACTGCGATGTTGAGCATGAGTATAAACAAATGAAACACATTCGAAAATCTTGGAGGGATTTGACAAAAATCATTAAAATTTGGGAAAAAATCCGAAAACACAATGATTGGAGCTTTATGGTTTAAACAATACGACTTTGATTCATTATTTTGGACTGTTAATGTTGATGACTTCTAGAAAGTGCCCATATTTTTATTTTTATTTTTGTGGAGAATACAAGAAAGTTGATGGATAATTCCCTTTTCATGGAAATATGTTGTTAAAATTTGATTTAAAAACTCCCTTTCATTATCAAATGGAACTTCTTGGGGTGATGATCTTGTTCTTAATATTATAAATTTTGATAGCATCTTGGACTAGAGAGTATGTTGTATAGCCTCCCAAATCTTCTTTGTTGTGGTTAATAACATATGTGCCTTTGATTCTGAGTTGCATTGAGTTCCTAAATCATGGCACGATCATGGGGTCTTCCACACTTATTATACTGAATGTTACGGAGCATGCTCATATACAACAAGATTCGGATTGATCATAGAAAATAATCTCTTCATGTGAACCCACCTATCTTGTGATTTGGGCTTACATGACGGTTGGAACCAAGACACATTTGGTTATGAATATCTACACAGATCAATCAATAGTTCAAGTCACATCCCAAACATTGAAATTAGGGTCATCGAAGCTTGGCTTTGGCCCTATCAAATGGTTCATTGTCACTTCTAGTTTCAAGAAGGTTGTGATCAGTTGAGACTAGACATGATAATTTCTATTATTTCATTGCCAAGAGGTCTCGAGATTTTGATTCTTGAGGATGGCTGGATAGTCATGGTGAGTATAGCTAGCTAGTTTAAAGATTTTTAAATTCTTACTATTATCCATATTATAAGAATAGTAATTAGAACAATAGGACATTTTAAGGTTCTTTCTTGCCGGCTATGGCGACCTGCAATTGCAGAACACTTTTTAGGGCCAAGAAAGAAACAGAAGGTATATTTCAGAAATTAAAAAGAACCCTGGCCACGTTAAGATAGAGCCCAATATAGTTTCTCCCTTATGCGGAATGGACGAGACTGTACATTTATAGTTAACCTGAGTCAGGCTTACTAAAAATAGAAACCCTACCAAATCAGAACACTACAGAATCAATCAAGTTTATTAAGATAAAATTGTTGACTTCCTTACTTTGTAGGGATTCCTTATGAGTGCCAACAGTATATTTGATTTTTAATTGAGTGAATAATCTTTCATTATTATACTTTGTAAAAGCTAAACTGTTTAATTGAAAGGGATTGCCTCAAATCCAATGTGATTTCTTCAAATTATGCCACACTTGAGCTCAGGAATTCAATGACAGTGCAACATAGACTTTATTCTAGGCTCCTCGTGAAGTAGAAACTATTTAATGATATAATTCTTAGGCACATGGACTGGGTAATGAATGTTTTGAAGGCACACATTTGCCTTCCCGTGTGACTTGCTTGAATGTAGTTTGATTGTAAACTCCTGGAGGCTTAAATGAAACGAAAAGTGCTCTTTGGCTCATGGCCTTGAGAGTTGAAGCATGGATGCCTGTTCACATGGGGCAGATTCTCATGTAAATTTTATATTTAAACTCTCATCACCATTTCAGAGCACAAAAACTGTTAGACATAATAAATTTTCACCATATAAACTGGTTAAGCAATGTAAAAAATTATCTCGCCTCTTTGCATCAGGTGAATCATGGATCAAAAATGCCAGTTTTCTTAGTTCCCCATTGATTTGAGATGCATGCTTGATGGACTTTATTGTAAGGCCTTCAACCCATTGGACTAACAGGGCAAGTACAACTGTTTGGCAAATACTAAATTGCTTACAGTCAACTGTTTTTCCATATTCACATTCTCATGGAATACCAAAAAAAAAAAAAAAAAATTTGTTATGTAGTTATCATATGGCTTTTCATGTTGATGTTTCATCTTGATGATGGTTTTGCATTTTTTGGTTACTCGTGATGTTGTATTTAAAATCTGTCAACAGAATGTTGACGTTAATTTAGCTACTGCAGTTTTGGAAAAATTCACTGGAAACTCAAAACGACCTGCAAAACAGCGGGACAGGGTATCTTCAGTAGACTAAAATTTATGCAGAAATGCAATTGACTGGAGAATTGGGGGCTTGTAGCTGTGTTGTGTAATTTTAGCATACCTAAAGATCTTCTTGGATGCTCTATTTATATTTTATACTTATAATGGGTCCTCTGTGCTAGAGTTTGGACTGGACATTACTCTTAGGGTTTTTGGTGTGTCTTATATTTTATATATGTTTTGACGACTACTTTCTTTGTCTCACTTCTTAATATCGATTGTGTGCATCTCCATGCAATCTTCAATATTGTGACTTGTGATATATGGACAGGTGTTGCTGCAAGTTTCACCAGATTTCAGGATACTGTGCAGATCTTTTTTGCTGTACTGTTCTGGATGTCTCTTTTTTTCTGGTCTTCTGCATGGGGTGGGAAAGATAATGACAGACCAAACAAAGGACCTCGATTTAGAAAATAATTCTGTAAGCTCTCGTCCTGTATATACTGATAGAAGCTAGAGATATCAAGAAGATCAAGTGATTTTAGTAGTCACAAGAGATACAAACATGATTACGGTTTTATATTAGTGAATAAAGTGGTTTGCAAATCCACCTGTGACTGTTCATTTTCCTTTCTAATCTTTATTTTCAATTTGGTGCCAATAAATTTTAATTTGTCATTTAACTCATTGTTAAAGTACTGTTCACTTTGCTGTAAAACGAAACCTTTTCGGATGTATTCGCTTATTGTGATACACTGTGCACAACTGTGTAAACGGGTAGAGTGGTGTCAAATGGTCATGTACTAGATACATGTTATCATAAGCTTCTGATTTTTGATACAAAACTAGGATTTCATTTACTCTTCTTCTTGTTATTGACAAGGATATAAAGCAGCAACTGGGGATGTTTTAGTTTGCTTACCCTCTATGCCAGATATCTCTTCACCAGGGTATATTTTTTCTGTTGTCACTGAACTTTTAGCGAATTTTGAGTTGAGTCACTAAATTAAATGTCTCAATTGGTCACTGACCTTCGATTTAATTTCAAATTTCGCCACTATGTAAAATGTCATCCCCCCAAACTAACAGATATTGCTTATTTGGAAGCCAAACAGTAGTAGGTAATCCCTGGGCTATATTTGGTTTGCATTAATTTTCCAACTTTTGCCTCATTGTTTTGTGAACAACTGATAAATAGTGGAAATTGAAAAGCTAATGTTGTTTGGCATCATACGGATTCAAATGAATGATGAACGTATTTTACATAGAAAAGTTTCATATCATTTCAATCTTCCTATCTATTTGTTGTATTGCAGAATTATCGATGGTCCCAGTTAGGAAATGCTATACCTGATATATGCAAGTATTAGCATCAACGATGGCACGTGTTTAGGTGAAGTTGATCATCTTGGAATTGTTCCAAGGTACAGTTCCGGGCATAGGCTTATTGGTGGAGAAACTGAGAGATTTGAGTTATCGAGCTGGTTGTGGTGGGGTCCTCGTCTTATGCTCTTTTTGAATATGTCATTCTTTTATCAATCTTGCTACATGTACACGAAATTTTGCCTACAGTTTGACATATTGTCAGTTGTCATAATTTTATTGAATGTTGGACAAAAAAAAAACTTCAAACCAGCCAATTCAATATTGCCACCTCATCACCTGTAAAAATCCCTTGCAAAAATCCCTGTAAAAGGAGTTTAATCCTTCTTTTATTGGACTATCGAATTTCGGGACGAAAAATGTCATTTCTTGTAAATTTGACAAGATGGGGTGTTTTGAAAATGAGGGATTTTAACTTTTGTTTTGGTTCTTGATTTGGAGTTGAAAATTTTGATTCCACTTGTTCGCGTGGTAAGTAATAGGGTGGAAGGCTGTGGGGTAAGTGTCTTTGTCAACTTGCAAAAATCTGGACTAGTTTGCAATGATATTTTAGGTGGTTTTATTCTCCACCGTAGACACAAAAATTTCTTAATATAAATATCTACATTTCATATAATGGAATTAAATGCACTTTGCTAAGACTTCGTACCTTGGTTCTTATTAGCAAATAATAATACTTCGTTATTTTAAGGATGACGTCACTTAGGGCCTATTTGGGGTGGATTTCCTATTAGATTTTTGGCGAATTTGTAGCCGTTAGACAGTGCTATCGTCAATTGCCAAAGCAACAATTTTTGAATGTATTAGGTAGAATGACAAATGCATCCTTTTATTCTCATTTCATTCTTCAATACAAAAGGACATTCTTGTAAAATGGTTCCTGTGAAATCAATAATTAATGCAGATTCAAAAACCCATCTATCATACAAACGGTCAAAAATGGATAAAAATTGGAATAAGTTCATTACCAAACAAGGCTTAAATTGTTAAGTATTTTTTTAAAGATGATATCGCTTAAATTGTTGTGTATTGACGCATTCTTATTTGTTAATAAGAAATGATGAACAGAGAATTCGCAACCTTTTTCTTTTCTATTCGATGGTTAGACTTTACACGTAGAGTAATTGTAGGCACTATGTTACAGTGTGCATCTTATGCCTAGACCAATCAATCGACACATCGCATGATGTCATCCTCACACATGCCCTTCTATCCAAGTTTTGAACCCAAACAAGAATTAAGTTGGTATATATGTTATAATCGTGAAATAGAGTTGGGGTCTTAAAGTGAATCGAGCTTACAACTTCATTTGAACACGTATACCTAGTTGTTTAGCTTAAATTTTGGCTACATCAAGTCGAAAGAAACCTTCATAAATTCACCAATACAATGAGGTTGACATACTTTGTGTGTGGCTCATAAATTATATAACTAACTTCTACTTGTAAAAAATAGACAGTATTTTGACCTACTAGAATAAAAAAAATGTAGAAACAAAAATACAAAAAATGAGATGTTAGTCGATGCATCTTGGAGGTGTTTTTTAGTTCGGGGCATTTTTGTTGTAAGCGAAAAAGTCAAACTTTTGTTTCAATCGAATAGATCTTTTACTTTTCTAGATTTGTATAAGTCATAGCATGTTTGGTATGGATTAAAATTAGATTTTTAGTAGATTATGATAAAAAAAAAATTTAAATGTGTGGATGAAAAGTTGTGGGACCCATAAAAGAAATCATTGATATTGATTGTTTGACTTTAACTTAGATTAAAATCTGATTTTAATCGAAAACAAACAAGGCCTGCATGTACTAATTTTACTAACCCTTCATTAATTAAACACAATGCAAGCTCTAACAGTCTATAAGTATTGTTATTAAATATAGTGATTATTGATAACGATTGAACTAAATAAGTAGTAACGTAGGGAGAGAAAAACCAATTTTGTGGTGGCCAAAAGTCGTTTTCCACCACTACCGCCGCCGTTGATCATCGCCCACAATATGAAACTATCAATCACTTTGCAGAAACCGACAACTCAATTATCACAAAATCCAAAGTTAAGCTACACGTACAGGATTTCTTTTCCAAAATTCTTAGAGATGCATACTTATCAAGATTTGATATGCAGTTGACAATTAAAAAAAAAGAAAAAAAATTTACCAATTAAGTGTTGCCGACGCGACACCAATAAAAAATATGTGAGGAAAAAGCTTGTCCCCTTGGCTTGTTTTCCTTTTCAATATCACTTGGTCTCACATGTGATCGACATAATTTATTCTTTACGTTAACTAGTAGACTAAACTTTTTTAATAAACTACAAACCATTTGTTAACTTTGCTTAATTTATTGAAAATATATAAACAATTCGATACTGTTGGGGGGGAATGTACCTTCAACAGAATTTATTATTATTATTTATTATTTTTTTTTTTACAAAAATCGAACATTATTTAGAACATGTTGGAAGCCTAGGTTCAAATTACTACCATTACAAGTTGTAGATAAAATTTGGCATTTCACTTTATTAAAAAACTGACTCAATCATTGAACCGGTTTCAGTTTCCTCTCGAACATATACGAACCAGACGGTTATTTAATGATAAATCAGTTCTTGACCGATTCCTTTGTTTATTTGACCAAGTAATACAATCGGACCGGACCATTAGCCGGTTCGACGATTTTCGGGTCAGACAGACCTGTTCGATTCGATTTTAATAACTATGTTTAATATAGTGAGATCCAGACTATTATGATGCGTTTGATTGTCAATATTTTTCATGAAAAATATGTTTTCTCTCCCAATTTCCTACTATTGTGATGTTTAATTGACAATTTTTTTCACGAAAAATATTTTCTTACTTTTGATCACGTAATCATATTTTCTTTGAAAACAAGAAAAATATTATTTTTTAGGAAGATGTGGTTTTTATTTTCCAGGTATCTCTCTCTCTCTCTCTCTCTCTCTCTCTCTCAACTAATAAAAAATAAGCAAATATAGTATTTTCTAGGTTGAAAACTAAATCAATAGAAAACGTTTAATTAATAATTTTCATACAAATTACATGCTCACTATTAAACGCATCCTTAGATATAAAAGGAGTGATCTAATCATCCACATTTATTTATGTCAAAAGATATGATCATTCCATAAAGACACTTAAAAATCTGTAAATAGGGACTCTAATTTAAAATTTCCTACACAAAATCAATTCAAGAAAATAATTTTTAAATTCTCTCCTCTTTTCGAAATATTATGTTCTTTTTATTTTTGTGAAATTAATTAGGTCTGAAATTATTTTTAGAAATAAAATTTCATCCGAGCAATTTTCATTGTGTTTATTCATTAAGAGAAGAATATTGTCAACACTTTAATTCATCGAGCAAAATTAATATTGTGCTATATTAATTTGGGAAGAAGCATTATATCGACATACATCCTATTAGTATAACTTCAAGTGATGAAGTCAATTTTAAGAAAATTTACATTCGTGTACTTGCTTTATTTCACCTCCTAATTCTATATTTCAGTAAGTCGCAATATTTACATATTTTCAAGCACATATCTTGATTTCGGTAAGTCAAAA